CTCTAGGTATACAATTTACAATTAAATGAATTAAGTCATAGGAAAACCACTTTATTATCAGTGTTATTCATTGTTCAGCTCCTCAAGTTTGTCTCAAGAATCCCTGTACCTACCTAATTGTGCAGCTAAAAAAAGGGGTTTTCAGTGACTGACAGAGATGTGAACAGGGCCAACTGTCTTGTCGGCTTTGTCCTTCGTTTCTGTCAAAAACATGTACAATTCTTGGAGACATGAACTTATTTACATTAATCTGAAGGTTAAAAATGTCAGCTTAATGTCTAAATAGACACAATGGAAAATATTGTAAGCAATCCTAATAGATTGGCTCTAGTGAGAAACATGCATCACTTTCCATACAGTCTGAAATGGACTCACATTAATGAATGTTTGGATATTTCTTGTGATGGCCCTTAAAGCAATTACACAAACTGAATGTTTCAGAAAGCAAACCGGCCTCATACATTACATCACCTGATGTACAGTCTAATGTCATACTCACCACATCTTTCTCCATCACTGTTGTCTGAATGAAGCTGTGAAAGAAATTAAGGTAAAGGGGACCTGTCTAAATGCTGTCACTTTAACAAATTCCTGAACACACCAATACTACAGATACTATATTGCATTTAGAACAACTGGTAAAAACAACCTCAACGATTATGTAGATTGTGTTTGTAAAGGGATGTCCAACCTGTCTCCAGCTGAGTCGTGTGTCACCAGCAGACAGGTTAGAGCAGCATTCACACAGCTCACTGTCTCCCTCTGGCGTACGCTGGCTGAACAAAAGACATATGCTGACCTTTAGATGGGAAACTACACCTTTAAAAGTACATCTCTCATCAGTGGATGTGACCTGAGATGAAACTGAAACTGACAAGTATGAAGATATGAAACAGAAATGTTTAAAATTTTAGAAGCCTAAACTGAAGGTGGGCCTGTGAAAGAAGCAGGTTTGTTCAAGCTTGCTATGTAAGCTTTGTTTCAAAGTGGCCATAAGATGGCAGCTGATGAACATCTTTAAACAGAAACATTAATTAAGCACACTAGTCCAATATTTAATTCAACAATATTACAGTTCTTCCCTAACGTTTTCTACGCAGATAGTAATTTAACCTTTTTTGTAATTTAACCTCTGTACACCACCTCAGTGGATTTTGAATCAAACACTAAAGATGTGACTGAAGTGCAGACTTTCAATTTTACTGGGTTTAACAAAAACATCACATTACCCATTTAGAAATAACAATTTTAATACACAGTCCTCTATTTTCAGAGGCTCAAAAATAATTGGAAACTGACCGACAGTTTCAAGACCACTGATGATGGGTTCTATACTTTGGGATTTTTATTCACATATTAAATATAAACCTTATATTTAAATCTATGTTAGTTTGTACTGTTAATGTTCAGCCTCTGATGCGGGTTTGTGTATAAAAATCGCTGGAAATATACACCTTTATAAAACTCTTTGAAGTGCAGAAAGTCTGCGCTTCAGTCAAATATTGACTGACTAAATCCACCATGGTGTCGTACAGACACAAAAAAATACAAAAACTGCCAATTGTCCAACAAATTATAGAACGAGATGAGTTAAAGTCATTTATGTGAAATGCTTGACAAACAACAGATTACATATTAGGTTCTGTTCAATTAGATATTGTTACCTGCTCCTCAGACTTGCCAAATGGTAAGCTTGGATACTTGGATACTACTATGGTAGGATGTAGATGGAGAGTCTGGCAGTAAACTGTCCATAAGACATGTGTAATGCAGGAGGACTGTATCAAACTTGGACATGATGTGTTTTGTGTTCTATTCACAAATGACTACAACTGTATTGACTTTTTTCTTATAGTCAAAAGAAAATACTCACCCCTGATTTGTGATAAACTTGTAGCTTGCAAGGAGAGAGGGTCAGGCTTCAGTGTAGCTACGCAAGAGTCGACATATACAGTGACAGGAGGGTGCATCAGGGCCTCTACTGGCTTCTAAAAGCACCGCTTCCCCCTGCTGATACACTGTGGAACTACACTGAGAGGTGCACACGTCTGTGGAACAACAGATGTTTTCTTTCCAGTGCCTGCTTCATTTAGACTCCACATACAAACAATATCACCAAACTAGAGAATGAATAAGACTTCAGTTTAACCTGCCAAGATATGAAGGGAGAAGTGCTGCAGTCCAAAGACACTGACCGTGGATGTCATTGGTACCCAGGTTAGGCTTAGTGGTTCTCGACTTACTTTTTGCTTTTTGTATTCACACAAAAATTACACACAGGTTATGCCAGTGTTTGTCATCATATAAACACACAAGTGTTGAACTCAGTTTAACCTGGACAAGTTTCTTGTTACTGTTAACCGCTTGAACCCTGCACTGTTGGTTTTCTATTCTAATCATTCAGCTTTTACTTTTACTCCACTAAAGTGACCAGCTTTGCCTATTTTGCCAGTGATACAATTTGTACCGTTAGCCAACAATTAAAAAAAACAATTCAGCCATTTAAACTGTTTACAATTTAACTACTACCTATAGTAACATAATTGATTAATTATGTAAATACTCCTAAAAAAACACACATCTAACAGTATACAATAACACATTACATTATTCATACTTTTAGCGAGCCGTATGATTTGCCCCCTTTGACCCCTTTAATTTATCTTCCTTTTAGATGCCATTTTCTGCCTTTTATCGGTTACGTTGAATTCAAACTTGCTCTTTAATCCTTTAAGTGTACCAGCTGAGCTTATTTTTACACTGGACTCAGTCCCACATTCTCGTAGCCCTGCAGAGATAACCATTTCAGCTTCAGACACCGCTTCCTTTGGTCTGCAGGTTTCCTGGGACAAGTTTTCTCCAAGTTGAAAACACTGGGGACTGAACGGGATACGTCTGTCCTGGGAAAACTGATGCTTCTCGGCTATTCTCACTTTGTTTTCGCCGCATTGCATTTGAAGTGCTTTAAAGAATGTCTACATTATTTTGGGGGACAAAACGCAGATAAACGAAAATGTAGGCGACACCGGTGTATTTTCCCTGGGTAGCCATTGCCAAAGAGAAAACCCAAGGCCTGAGTAATTAACGTGGTTGTACACAGGTGTACTGCGCCGTGCTCTCGCGCGCTGGACCGTGGATTCTACTTTCAAAGACTGTGGGGAGAAATACACTCCCTGTTATTAATTCTGTTTGTTCAGAAACAATTTTATTCACGCTATACTTAACAAAAAACAATTGCCACATTAAGCAATTTTGTTTTGGTGACCTTTTTTTTCCTTGTCAACACACTGCATCCTAATTCTATTTTATCAGCACACATATCTATGTGGAAACATTCATTTCAAGATAACAATATTTTCGCACACTCGAATATTTGTTTGTTTAGTAGTAGTAGTAGTCGTACAGTAATTTCACTTTCAAACGACTGAAACCGGTGACTTTTTGTGTTTAGAAACAAAATGAAACGAAAAGACCGAAAGGCTCTTGAGGGCATAACTGTGAGTGGAACCAATGTCAAGACGGAACTCAGTTACTCCTCTTAGTGTTCCGTAGGGATAGTTATTGTAGCTGTACTTAGCAAGCGTCGGATGTTTTGAAACTGCTGACGAGTGTTTGAATGTTATATTATGTGTTTGTAAAAAATAAAAAAGGAAAGAAAAGAGAAAAACATGGATAAAAAGTCCGTACCAGCGCCGTCAGAGGAGGAGATTGACTGGGGAGGAAGTGGAGCAGGAGGGAGCAAACATTTACAAAAGGACAAAACTTTATTGAAGAATGTGCACACTTGTCTTTCTAATCCACCTTCGGGTGCTATAAAATGTTCTCTAATAAAAGGAGACTATCTCTACTTCCACTATGGATGCGACGGACAGGATGACAGAGGCTGGGGATGTGGCTACAGGACCGTTCAAACGCTGTCTTCGTGGATTTGTCATAACTGCTCTCCGCCTAAGAACCACTGCAGGCCGGTACCAAGCCTCCCCGAAATCCAGCAAGCGTTGGTAACAATGGGGGACAAAACCGACTCCTTTTCAGGCTCCAGGGAGTGGATAGGAACATTTGAATGCTCTCTAGTCCTCGACCATTTCTACGATGTTCCCTGCAAAGTGGTGCATGTCAGAGGCGGAGGGGCCGAGCTGGAGCATGTCGCAGTGGCTGAGCTCCATCAGCACTTTGAGAAGCATAACTCTCCAGTGATGATGGGAGGAGACAGAGACAACTCCTCAAAGGGGGTTTTGGGGGTGTGGACCGGGGATAAGGGAAGCTATTTGCTGGTTCTCGACCCGCACTACTATGGATGTGAGCTGGACAGGACAGAGTTGCAGAGGAGAGGGTGGGTGGCATGGAAAAGAGTATCATCTCTGGATCAGTCTTCATTTTATAATCTGTGTCTGCCACAGACTGCAAGACTGCTAAATGTGTTTTAGACATTCAGTATGGTTGTTTCAAAATGAGCTGCAGTGCCATCCTGTGGTTAAACTCATTAAAGCTCTTGAAGAGCAGCAGTACCAATCGAATATGTTGGTTTTTGTTTTCTTTTTTTATTATAAATTTGAGGATCAGTTAATTTCTTGGTCAAAACAGTGTGTTTGGCTTCTCAAATGTCTTCATTTTGTGTTTTTGTGAAAAATATTTTTCAGTATTCTGCAGGCCTACATAGACCCTTGACAGCTGCTCATTTTTATTTCACATTTTGTGCACAAGATCATTTACTAAAAATGCATGTGTCTCCTGATCATGCTGAATACACAACGCCATCATAAACTGAGGAAAATCTTGTGATCACCTACACATGATATGTGCTGGACAATGCTTCAATATGCACTGAGAGAGAGAGATCTGTACGCATGTAAACATATTAAATGAGACAAGCTTCATTTAGGCTCACTCAATTCTCAGTTTTATTCCTTGCATCATATAATTTATTTGACATGACATCTGGGTTCCATTTATTTCTTGAGCTACATTCCTGCCAAGAGATCAAAAGACCACCTTTTATATCATTTATCTGATACACAATCTTTATAGAAAATCTGGAAGTTCTTGTCCACATCCATCCTCCCCTTGAGGAATTTCTCTAGGTTTTTGAGAGGAACCTCCACCATTTGGTTGTTGACACGATCATTTAGCCCATATGCACCAAAGACAGGGAACTTATAGCGCACAAAGTACGGCGCATTTTGGTCGAACTCGGTGCAGCAGTAGGCCGACCACATGTACTCGGGCACAGCTACCCGTTCCTGGTTGTTGCGACGGATCGTGTGTCCAGAAGTGGTGACCCCGGTGATCACAAAGGCTTTGCCGCGGCAGTAGTTGTTGAGGCGCTTTCGGACGATGTCTCGGTGTTCCGCCCAAGGACCCATGTTGAACTCCCTGATTTGAGGCACCACGTTCGTCAAGGTGTAGGTGGACGCCTTGTCTAGAGGGTCAGCCTGATGCTCATCGGGATTTAGTTGGCCGCGTTCATACTGAACCACATCGGCGTAGTCCTCCAGGACTGCCTGGGAGTCCTCAAAGTTCATGTGCATGTTTGCAGACTGGGGGAAGGGCTCCATGTTACTGCTGCTCTTGTCTGAGGCCAACTATGGAGAGAGAGAGAGAAAAGAAAAAGCAAAGTAGTTTTACTCCCAGTTTGCACAATATTTTTTTTCTGGGAATGGTGCAAAGACTCATGGGAATAGAGATGATATGATGGTATTGTTTGCTTGTGCGACTGTTTAAATAGACCAGTAGTTGTCCAATAAGTGAGTGGAAATGTGAATAAGCTCATATCTTGTCACACTTATACAAATATAGGAGACAAAATTCATGGTATGTGGGCAAAGAGTTGAAGTTATACTTTTAAAAAGATAATCTGTTTATGAAGATTAACCCCAACCTGACACACCAGATGGCTGCCTCTCCCTTAGCCTGTTTCTGTC